CTCCCCGATCCGTCCGCCCGCCCTCCCGCGGGCCGCCAGCGCCCAGCGGCCGCTCCCGCCGCTCCCCGGAGGGTGACGGACTTTTTCCTGCCCGGTCCGGCCGGGCTGCGCCCGCCCCCCCTGCACTAATCACTCCCAGGCCGAGGCGGGCGGTGCGGAGGGCTCGCTGCCGCCACCCCCACCGCCGGCCCCTACCTGCCGCCGGCTCCTCGGCCGCGGGCAGCATGGAGGGCTCCGGCCGCGCGGCGGGAAGTTAGGAAGCCGGGAGTCCGGCCCGCGGCCCGGCCCGGCCCGGCCGGGCTCCGCTCTCCGCCTCTTCTCCCCTCTCACCCGAACTCCTTCCAGAAATCTCCTCCGCCGGGCCGGGGAGGGAGAGCGGCACGGCCCGAGGTGTCGGCCTCCCTCGCCTCCCGCTGGCCCGGCCCCGGGCTCCCCTCTGTCTCCCTCCCCTCCCCTCCCTCTTCCTCTCCGGCCCCCACCACCCGCGCGCCGCGTCTCCCTCCCGCAGCCCCGCTCCCGCCTCGGACTCGCTCTCCCCGACTTTTGCGCGGGGCTCGTCCGTCGGGATTGGCGGGACCCCGCCTCGCTGGGGCTCCAGGTGGCCGCCTCCCCGGGGCTGCGGGTCGCCGGGACGCCCCGCCGCGCTCCCGGCCACCTCCTGGCCCCGCGGAGCGGACTCCAGGAATGCCGCGTCCCGCCGGGCCGCTCTCGAGGGCGCCCAGCCTTGCCTCCACCGGCCCGAGCCCTGCTGGCGGGGGCAGGTCCTGGCTCCCGGCTTCGGGCTCCCGGGGGAAGGATGGAACCGGATCTCGAGGCTCCTGAGCGGAGGCGGGGGCCGGGGCCTCGGACGCCTGGCTCCTACCTGCTCGGAGGTCCATGGGGCTGGGGGCCGGGCCGGCCGGGCGAGGCTCCTCTCCCGGAGGCTGGCGGAGTGGGAGGGCGAGCCGCGGCTCCAGCGAAGCTTTAATAATCCCATCCGCCAGGCCCACTCGCAGGTTTTTTTCGCTCGGTTTCGGATTTTTTTTTTTTCAGTGTGGGACATTCTGCAAACTTTTTTTTTTTCTGACGTGTAAAGCTGTAACCACAAATTGTAGCGGCCCTCCCTGGGGTGGGGGGAGGAGGGGGGAGGAGGGAAGGGAGGGCTTCTGGGGCTCCTCTCCCTCCCACGACACCGAGGGGGGGTGAGGTGAGGCGAGGCTGCGGTGGTACCACCCTGGGCCTCCTGGGGGAGGGGGCGGGAAGGGCATCAGTCGGTGTGCAAACTCTGAGAGCTCAGGCAGGGAGCCGCCGCGCCTTTTCCTCTCCCTCCGAGTCCGCCTGGGGCCCGGTCCCTGTCCGCGTGGGTCCCTGGGTCCCGCGCTCACCCTACCTCTGCCTTCTCATGTGTAAGCTCGCCGCCCCCGCCCCCCACCCCACACACACAGTAAATGCAATGACACATTCTCCCAAATGCCAGCGAGCTGGCCTCCAAGCAAGTGATGGTGTTTTTCCTGCTGCCCTTTGTCTGGGCTGACCGCCCCCCTTGCCTATTGTCCCGCCGCCTGTCCCATTTCCAAAAGCTGGGGCTAAGCGAGGCGCTGGCCGGGGCAGGTGACTAACCCGTTCACAATGCCCACTGCGGGGGCGGGAGAGGGCACCACAGGCCCACTTGGCGAGTGCTTTCCCCTCAAGATCACAGGGTTCTTCATTCTTCCCAGCGGCCAGGAGAGTACACATGGGTGGGGGGTTTGTCATTCATTAATCAACACGAGGCACCCGGACCAGTTTCAACACCAGGGCTTCATGGGTGACTCAGCGAGAACGTTCTAATTCAAGGCAATGGACGACCCCATTTGTGAAATGCCTCCCCATGAAGACAGTGGGGTTTGGGGGTGTTGGTTTTCCGGTGGTGGGGTAGGGGCGATTTGGCTGTGGAGTGCTCTTTCTCCTTCCTTCCCTCAGGCCTGGGTTGGGACTTGCTGGGTAGGATACCCCGGGGACCCATAAGCCTAGACCCTCCCTGGAGGGTCTTCCTCGCTCTACACAGGTCTGCTAGGAAGCGAGCAGAGAAAACAGCTCTCATCTGGGATCGTGCAGGAATCTCCACTTCATGACTTTTCTTGGGGGACAGTTATTTGATCTCCATGGCTGGAGAGCTCTAGAACCAGACCAGCAATAAACTCATTTAGTAATTTGTTGCTTTTGTTGTTGTTTATTTGTTGTTTCAAAGGGATAAAGGCGATAGTGGGCCAGACCTGGACGGTGACGCCTCCCTCTGGAACAGCATCAGAGCCCACGCTCCCCACTCCTTTCCTGGTGCCCCCAGAGAAAGGGATGCTCTGCCAGCCCTGCCACAGCCCCTCCCGCCTGTAGGTCAGAGCAGGCGGTATGTCATGACCAGCACTGGGTTCCCAGGGCAGCTCTTGCCTGTCTGCACTTGGAGAACTGGGGTGGGGGGGATGGGGGGGTGGGGAAGAAGTTTGTTTTCAATTACCTCACTGGAGTGGGACAGACTTTGTTGTTGAGTTTTTCCCCTCTTCTTTCCTTTTCTTTTTTTCCTAAACAAGAAAAAGAACTGGGAAAGGGGAGCTAGCCTGGAGTTGGGGGCAGGGGACTTTCTAGGGGATCAGCAGCAGCTCTGACGGGCTCTAGGGCATCTGCCTTAGAGGGGCCCTTTGGAAAAGTGCTCAGGGCCTCCCTCTTCCCCCACAACCCCCCCACCCCCCAGCCTGAACGCTGAAGTTTCAATGACATTCTTGGCCGGCGAGCCCAATGATCTTTGATGCCCATGCCAAGGTCAAGAAGGCAGATGCCCAGTGGGTGACTGGCACTGAGGCCAGCCAGGAGGTCCCCTAGCAGCCACCCTGTCAGAGGGAGGGAGCCATGGAGGGGAGGGGAGAGGGAGAGGGGAACTGCTCAAGTCCTTCTCCCTGGTTTGCAGCCGGCTCCTTGTGGAGAGTGTCTGCACAGACAATGTGGTTTGGATTTGGCTGAGCCCCCTCAGCACCTTATAAAGCACCTTGCTGAGTCAGGGAGAAAGCAGCCCCACCGAGGGAGAGGAGGAGGGGGCCAGGAGAAAAGGGGGAGAGGGGAGCTGAAGGAGGAGGGTGGGGGCTGAGGGAAGAGGAGGGGGAGAAGGGAAGGGACAGAACAGGAAAGAGGAGACACAAAGGCAAATAAATGGGTGGGAGTGGGAAGGAGGGAGGAGCAGGAGTCCAGGAGGAAGAGGAACAGACTCTGTAGTTGAGGGAGAGCTTACCATGTTGCCTCCCTCCGCAGAGCCCCCCCACTCCCCGTGCAAATATTCACCTCAAGAGTCTAGAAAGCATTGGTTCAAAGAAATCAAGGGCTGCAACTCTCAAATGAGGACCAGGCCAGGTGGGTGCAGGAACGATTGGCTTTACACACAGCCCCTGGGCTTGATACTGTGACCCCACAAGCTGAGGAAGTCCCGTCCGCCTCTGCCTCTTGTCTGGACTTGTATCCCTGCCCTCTCCCCTCTCTGTGGTGGTGGGCGGAGGATAGAGGAATGGGGGGCAAGCTCTCCCCTCCCCCTCTTCTCTACTGCCAAAGGGAAAATCAACTCCATCTCCAAGCTGCCTGTGCCCCTCTGCCATGTCTGGGCAAAGGCAGCAGGCTAGGAGCTGCCAGTTGGGTTGGGGTGGGGGCTGGAATAAAGACTATGCCTTTATTCTACCAAATCCCAAATGGGAGTGGGCTGTTGGATCTCAAAGGAAGGAAGGAGAGGCAGAGTAGGAATGGCACCTCCAGGGTTTCTGTGGGTGGCAGGGCACAGGTGGCTGCCCTCTGATTTCCAGCTGGGACCTCCGGAAGGTTCCTGCTCCCCTGTGGCTCTTCCTGTTCATTGCTGCTGGGGGCAGGGCAGAGGTTAGAGGAGACCCCCCCACACACACACACACACCTGAGTTCCAGATCCTTGGTGTGTTGTGCAGGCATTTCCTGAGCCCTCGCTGGGTTCTAGGTCCTAGAAAAGACAAGGGAGGAGAAAAACCCACCCCTACCTTTAAGAATGTCACAGTCCATGCCAAAACCGGTTTGGCTCAGTGGATAGAGCGTCGGCCTTCCGACTGAAAGGTCCCAGGTTCGATTCCGGTCAAGGGCATGTACCTGGGTTGCGGGCACATCCCCAGTAGGAGATGTGCAGGAGGCAGCTGATCGATGTTTCTCTCTCATCGATGTTTCTGGCTCTCTATCTCTCCCTTCCTCTCTGTAAAAAATCAATAAAATAAAAAAAAATCTTAGAATGTCACAGTCCTGTGACAAGGGACACCCATTAACCCTGGAGATCGGAGGATGGTGAGGGGAGGAGAGCTCCGGGAGGAGGGAGAGCTTCGGGGTAGAAATGTGACTGGACGGCAGGAGGAGCAGTGGCAGCCACAGGCAGGGGCCTGAGGTACCCTGGGCAGAGGTCCCAGGCTCCTTGCAGAGGCAGAGGGCCAGGCTGGGAGTCAGAATGCTGGGCTTCCAATTGGCCAGTGTGGCCCTGGGACAAGCCCATCACCTCTCTGTGGAATGGGAAGGACCACCTTCCACCAACTCCCCCACAGGATGGTGGGAGTATCAGTGAGCTGAGGAGGCAGACACTGCTGTGCTGCCCTCTCTGGCCTTCTAGACTCCAAGCCTTACCATTCACAGTGGGGTAGCAGATAAGGCTCCAAGGGGTGTGGCTGGGCAGGGGGCAGGGCTGGCACCAGGTGATGACTGAGCTGCCCTCCAAAGTGATGGGGGTGAGTCGGTGTTGGCTTACAGATGAGCTAGATTCCCACTTCTCCCTCCCACCTTCCCCCCAGAACTGGTATCCCCAGGGAAGGCTCTCCAGATGCCCCAACAACACCATGTCCCAGGCAGCTGAAGGATTGGCACTGTAGGGGCACTGGCCTCTGGGTGTCCTGGATTCCTAAACCAGGAAGGCTTCTGGTCTGATGCCCTTCTGATGGGTGAGCAGGAGTATGGTGGTAGAGAAGCCCACTGAGGTGAGTAAGGATATCCACTAATTCATTCATTTGTTCACTAAACATTCCCTGAGTGCCTACTCCATGCCAAGTGCCAGGGACACAGAGAGGAACCCTAAGAGGCTATGGGGTGGAGGGGTGGAGACTGACCTGTGTGCACGTAGGAGAGCGGGGGCGGGGGGGGGGAGAGAGAGAGAGAGAGAGAGAGAGAGAGAGAAACATTGATGTAAGAGCGATACATTGGCCCTAGCCAGTGTGGCTCAGTGGATAGAGTGTCAGCCCAGGGACTGAAGGGTCCCAGTTTAATTCCAGTCAAGGGCATGTACCTCAGTTGCAGGCAACCCCTGTGCAGGAGGCAACCAATCAATGTTTCTCTCTCTTGTCTCTCTCCCTCCCTTCCACTCTTTCTAAAAATCAATGGAAAAAATATCCTTGGATGAGGATTAAATAAATAAACCATGAATGCAAAAATAGAGCACTTGTTTCTACAAAAATAAACAAATTTGTTTTAAAAGAGAGAGAGAGACACATTGATCAGTTGCACCCTGATTGGAGATTGAACCCACAACCTAGCTATGTATCCTGATCAGGAATCAAACCCGCAACCTTCCGGTGCACAGGACAACCCTCCAACCAACTGAGCCACAGTGGATGGCCAGGGCCATCTCATTCTTACAATAACCCTGTAAAATGGGAACTGTTATTTCCCCATTTTATGTGTGAGGAAACTGAGGCTTGGTAAGATGAGGTCACCTGTCTAAGGTCACACAAATAGTAGAGCCAGGACGGGAGCCCAGAACGCCATGTCCCTTTAACTGTCGCTCGCAGAATCAACCTGGGAGCGGACTCTGGAAAGGAGAGGCTGGGTGCTGAGCAGCTCCAGAAACAGCAGGACTTGCCAGTGCCCTGGCCATGAGGGAGCTCACCTGGGTGCTGCGTCCCCTCAGGACACTAAGTCGTTCCTAGGGACAGTCCCCATTCCCCTGCCCACCACCCACTGCGGACAAGGATTGACTGTGATGCTAGGCTGTCACCCACATCACCTCCTGGCACAGGGAGAGGCACTATGCCCTCAGCTAGAATTGTAGATTCTAGGGGCAGTAAGCTTGAATTGGGACTGAGCACTGAACCAGGACCAGGATGTCCCTGTGCTTCCTGAGGGCCTGCAAAGGGAGGGGCTAGGTAGCCTGAGAGGTGCCTTCTGGGCTACTAACTAGGGCCAGAGAAGGCCCCCAGGGATCCATCCCCGGAAAGAGCGCTCCTCTTCACCACCACGTGTGAACACTCCAGTGTGAATGTGCAGGCCTGCAGGCCACTGAGGGCAGATGGTGAGAGAAGGCAGCAGGGGTGGGCACTTTCCCTTTCCCTCCAGCGGACAAGAGCCCAGAGGGCCCTGTCTCACCCTGAGCTGGCCATGATGTCAGCGGAAACCCCTGGGCCTCCTCCCACCTCAGCAAGGGCCCTACCCTGCCCTGTGCCCCCACCCACACCTGGACCAGCTCAGGCCTCCCCGAGGACACCACACCCACTGCCTCCATGTGAAGCTAAGAGGAACCAGGCTCTGCTTCGGGCCACTCCCTGCCCTGCCTGGGCTCTACTCTCTGCAAGGATGCCTGGGTGACAGGTGTGCGAGATGGGCAGGGGCAGAAGGGATACCCCATGCTCAACTCCTCCCTTGCTTGTCAGAAACTCCCCCCCCCCCCCATTCTTCCAGGATGTTCCATTGCCCTGGCCAACCCATGCCTCGGGCTCAGTGACTCCGTCTCCCCTGGCAAAGGAGTGGGGTTACCTCTCCCTGGGCTGGAAGATCCTTATCCTGCCCTGCTGAGTCACTGCCGGCTCCTCCTGCTCTGTCCCCTCCCTCCTCACCAGCCACCCTCCTTCAAGCTTCTCAGGACTTTCTCCAGAATGTCTGGGCTTCTCAGGGACCCTGGGGTCAGAGGACAGACAGCACCTCCCTGGGCCATCCCAGGGAAGCAGTGATGGGAGTCCCACCCCCAGTGCCTGCCATCCCAAGTGCCTGCACTGTTGGGAGAATGACACAGTTGAGGGTGACCACTCCAGCTTTACTAGCTGTGTGACTTTGGGCAAATCACTTGATCCCTGCACACCTGTTTTCTCCTGCACAACACAGGGGTGATGATAATAGTACCTTCCCCAGAATAAGGGTCGATCCAGTTAATACAAGTCAATCTCTGGCACTTAGCACTCGATAATGTTAAATATTACGGTTATCTGCCCCTCATGCCCTATCCTCCTGCTTCCACTAATGATGCCACTACCCCCTTGCAAGCCCCTATGGCTGTGCCTTTTCTGTCCTTTTGATTCTGCCTTCCTGAAGCCTGTCCCCATCACCCGACTCTGACTCCCCACACAGGGCACAGACACAGAACTCTTGAGAGTTCTAGAATTGGGCTGTTGCTCAACTCTCCTCCAATGATAAATGATTCCTGAGCATTTGAATTTGCACCCCAGCCAGCCTCCGGTAGGGGTTCGATGTGTTAAAGGAGGGTGGAGTGGGAGGGGCAACAGCGAGGGCACAGTGAGCTCGGAAGGGTTGAGAGGAGCCAATTGATCCTGACTGTGCTGGGTGCCCGCCCCATTCTGAGCTTCAGGTCATCTGTCTGCAAGATGTGGGTAGTTTGGGTCTCTGAGGAGCCCCCTCACCCCTACTGGCCCCCAAGGCACCTTTCTGAGGACCACAACTCGTCCTTCCCTGTGCATGTCAGTTTCAGCCTGCTACAAAATCTGTTCAATGAGACAGGTCCTCAAGAACTTAAGGTTTCTAAAGGGCTGTGGTGCACAGAAAGGTCAATGGACGGAGATGTGAGGAAAGACTTCCAGAGGGGCCGGGGAGAATCCGAGTGGCGGAAAGGGAAAAGCCACACCTGGCCTGGAACCTTGCTGGGGCTGGGGAGGAGCCTTCAGAAGCTCCTGTATGTGCCCCATGGAACAGTTTGGAACTACAGAGACCCAGGCCTGCCAGCCAGGGGCTCTGGGTCTCCTGGGACAGAGGGCAAGATGGCTCCAGAGCCACTCTGCTCTTAATTAGTGGCCTCCTTCCCACCCCTCCCCCATTCCCTAGTCTCTCCCCCTTACCCCGCACTGCAGTAAGCCCATCTCAGCCCCTCCCTCCCTCAGGTGCCTAGCTGGCTTGGGCACAGAGCTGGGCCCCACGGGTGCTTGCCTGCCCTACAGGCAGAGTAGCCCAACTCTGTTCTGGGAGCTGGGACTGGACACGGTGTCTGTCTCCCTCTGCTGGTCCCTTTAGGGGACAACCCCGCCAGGACTCCCCAGAGCTGGAAGTGCACATATCTCCCCAGACAGCACGTGTTGGGGGTTGAGGAAAGAACCCCGGGATTCAGACGGGCTCTAGCCTGCCAGAACACTGATGCTGCCACCTGGGGTTCCTGTGGCCTGAAGCCTGCCTTTGACCGGGGCCCCTTGAGCTGCTCTTGGGGAGGCCAGGTCCCGCCCTGAGGCTTTCCCCACAGGCCAGCAGGCCCCAAACAGCTTCCTTCCCCTTCTAGCCATGAATGGAGCTGTCATCCACAGATTTATCTAAACCTTTTGTGAAGCTATTTATATTCCCAGCCGAGACCACATCTTGGGGTAATGAGTTCCATCGGCGTCCTCCCCTGCTGGGTGAAGCACGCTGTCTTTGATTTGTCCTAAACTTACCTCACTTGTGCTCCAAGGGGGCCTGTCATTCCAGCGTGCCAGGTTTTGGTGAACAAGCCTCTGCTTCCCCCTTCTCTGCTGTGGGTTTAGAAAATCCCCTCCCATCTCCCCTCCACCTCCTGCCCTGCAGACTGCAGAGACCTGGGCTTGTCTGCGCACCGTGCCGGCAGTGTGGGCCCAGTCACTGCCTCGTGTCAGCCTCTGGCAGCTCGGGAAGATGGAGGACTTACATCCCCCTCACGAGGCAGCAGGCATCGAGGGGCCAGCACCTGGCCACAGCCACAGCCTCACCAACACCTTTTCCCTGGGGCTGACCTCTGCCCCACCCGAGTCCTGCGAGTGCTTTCCCAGTCCCTGGCCTCTGGGCCTTTTCCTTGCCATGTTCCTCTGGGGTCTTCCCTCCCTGCTTCCTAGTGTGGATTCCTCCCTACGGATGATTCATTTTGTTCTTGGTTCCGACCCTAGAATCCTGTGAGGGCACACGCAACATGGAGGTAGTGGGACACAGCAATAATCATGGGAAGACTGACAGTGCGTGCTAAGAGCTGTATAAACACTAAATTAATCCTCACAACAGCCCTTTCCTTCCCCCAATTTACAGATGAGTAAACTGAGGCTCAGATAATATCGGCAACGTGTCTACTTGCACAAAACCTAAAAGTGATGAACCCAGGATTCAGATCTAGGCAGGCTAGTGCCTAGAATCCCATTGTCCACCTCAATAGACAACCTGAGTCCAAATCTTGTAACCACTTTGAATGTTATGCTCTTCAGTCATTCAATATATGCTTAAGCCACCGATATGTGCCGAGCTTGCCCGCCCTAACTGCTGAGAAATGCTGGGGAATGAGAAAGGCCTGGGCCTGCCTACAGGCACCCCTGGCACCTGGTGAACCACTTACAGGTGGGCAAGTAGTGCCCTGCCGGCAGCTCAGAGCTGCCTCTCCCCCTTGGTCATCCCAGCGGAACCACACGTTTGGGTCACATCAGAGCCTTGGCGCGGGCTGTCCCTTTCATCTGTCCTCTCCGGTGCAGTGGAAGCCCAGGGCAGCGGGGATTTGTATCCTGTGCTCTGTTCCTGAACTTAGAAATGTGTTTCTGAATTAAATGAATTACTGAGCTCTGGGGATTCCTGCGACTTCAAACCTAACCAATTGGGTGAGAAGTAGTGGTTGAACTGAAATTTCCCGACAGATAATTATTTTTAAAGTTTGAAATGGGCCCTGGCCAGTTTGGTCAGTGGTTAGAGCATCGGCCCTAGGACTGAAGGGTCGAGGGGTTGATTCCTGGCATGTATCTCAGGTTGCAGGTTCCCTGGCCCCGGCAGGAAGCAGCCAATCGATGTCTCTCTCACTTCGATGTTTCTCTCCCTCTCTCTCCCTTCCACACTCTCTAGAAATCAATGGAAAAAATACTCTCAGGTGAGGATTTTAAAAAAAAAGTCTGCAATGGTAACCACCTTCTTCTGTCCCCTATCTGCCCTCCCCCCAACTCCCATATATGCACTTGTGGGAGGTCACAAGTGGGTATGGTGAAGACTAAGAATCTAGGGTTTGAAAGGGTTCTGAGAGCATCTCATCCAATCCCCTCATTTTTATCAAGGGGAAACAGGCCGAGAGAAGAGTCTTGCTTGAAGTTGTGAGTGGGACTGGAGGTCCCCCAGGCCTCCTGACTTCTGGCACAGACCCCAAATTGTCTTTGGGTCCCTATATTCACTGCCTGTCCTGTTAACACAAAGGATTCTTTTTTTAAAAATATATTTTATTGATTTTTTTACAGAGAGGAAGGGAGAGGGATAGAGAGTTAGAAACATCGATGAGAAACATCGATCAGCTGCCTCCTGCACACCCGCTACTGGAGATGTGCCCACAACCAAGGTACATGCCCTTGACCAGAATCAAACCCGGGACCCTTCAGTCCGCAGGCCGATGCTCTATCCACTGAGCCAAACCAGTCAGGGCACAAAGGATTCTTGACAGTTCTAGGCTCTCATGCCCCCACTGTAATCCTCCCTTCTGGACCGGAGAGGTTTTATTGGCTGTGCCAACTACAGCCTGGAGAGGCTGCTTGGCCCCAGATTGGAGAGCCCCCTTCTGGCCCCATTGCCTGGGGGAAGCAAGACAGCCAATTACAGCCCAGGCCGGTGTGGCTGTTGGTTGAGCCTCATCCCATGCACCAAAAGGTCACCAGTCAGGGCACAGATCCAGGTTGCAGGTTTGATCCCTGGTAAGGGTGCATACAGGAGGCAGCCAATCACTGTTTCTCTCACATTATTTTTTTTCTCTCTCCCTTCCTCTAAAAAATCAATAAAAATATATATTTTTTAAAAGGAGCCCTGGCTGGTATTCTCAGTGGTTAGAGTGTCGGCCCGAGCACAGAAGGGTTTCAGGTTTGATTCCTAGTCAAGGGCACCTACCTGGGTTGCAGGTTCAATCTCCAGCCAGGTCAGGACGCATGAGGGAGGCAACCAATGGATGTCCCTCTCTTACATCAATGTTTCTCTCTCCCCCTCCCTCCTTCCCTTCCACTCTCTCTAAAAATCAATGGAAAAAATATCCTCGGGTGAGGATTAGCAAAAATAAAGACAGCCAATGACAGCTCCTCTCCAGAGCTAAGGCCAGATGAGGGGCAAAGGGAAGCCAGGGCACCGCAGTGAGCATCTCATGCCACCAACAGCCGCAGAGCCAGGGAGGGACTTACACAAAGTCACACAGGGAATCCGTGTTGGAGCACAGACTAGAAACAGGCCTCCTTTCTGTTGTCTGAGCCCTTCAGAAGGGCAGATTCCGACTTTTGACAGGCATGTGTGTGTGTGTGTGTGTGTGTGTGTGTGTGAAAGAGAGAGAGAGAGAGGGAGAGAAAGTCCTAAAGAGTCTGTCTCCCTCTCCCCAGGGCCTTGCTCCAAAGACCTCAAGGCCATAAGACTCTACAGACCTAGGGGTCAGGGGCAGACGAGACTGCATAATCACAGCTTCCTTTCCTGGCCGTCCAGAGAGCTGTGGTGTCTATCTCCTGTTCCGGTTGGGCGGCTCAGGTAATGGTGTGAGGCAGAGGTGAGGTGGAGAAGCTGTGAGGCTATGCTGACTTACACGGGTGAAAGGGACATCCAGGAGGGGGACGAAAGGTAAGGAAGAGAATAGCTGTGCTGGGTCCTTTTGTTCTTCTGACAGAACAGGGTGGGGGGCAGCTCTTGTCCAGGGAAGGGTGGGGCTATGAGCCAGAGACAGGTGAAGAGGCTGGGCAGGTTTGGGGTAGAGTGTGGATTCTACGAGAAATGTAGTGACTTGGAAGCAGCTCATCTTCATTTGGATCACACATTTACCCGCTGAACACATGTATTACCCTCTACTGAGGGCCAGGCCTGTGTGAGGCACAGGGATACAGCAACAAACAAAACAGACATGGTCCCTGTGCTCAGCAGCTGACATACTAGTGGTGAAGACGCCTGTTGAATAAATGCACACACGTGTGGAATAATGTTGAGTGGTGCTAAGTGCTGTGACTAACCCAGAGCAAGGGCTTAGCTAGAGAGAAGGGGGACATGGGGGAGGGGGCAGAGGCCTATTGCTTGAAGCTGAGCCCCAGGAAAAGGAGCCAGCACGTGAGAAGGGAGCAGAGAATCCCCAGTGGTAGGAATGGCCTGTGCAGGGATCCCAAGATGGAAAAGGATGTGATGGGCTGCGCAGGAAGGCCAGAGACCGGTGAAGAGGCTGGGCCGGCTCCTGAGGTTTGGGGGGGAAAGTGTGGATTTTATGGGAAGTGCAGTGGTTAGAAACCACTGGAGGGTCTAAACAAGGGGAGGTGTGACATGGTTGACATTTTAGGAAGGTCACCTTGGTGCTGTATGGAGAGTGGACTGGATGAGACAGAGACTCAGAGAGCTCCTGGTCAGTCGTCCGGAGGAGAGATGATGGTGTCCTTAGCCAGGCTGATGGCTCTGGAGATGGAAGAGGAAGGCTGAAGTTGTCATCTGTTTGGGAGGTAGACTCAGGACTTGCCAAAAAATTGTAGTATGTGGGGTGAGGGGAAGGTGGGGCCAAGGATGACTCCGAGTTTACTTACCCAAATGCCTGCACAGAGGTGGTGCCATTTACACGGATCCCTCTGGGAGGAGAGAGTAACCTCCCAAGAGCCCAGTGTGGAGAGGAGATGAGGACAAGGAGAAGGGGAAACAAGTGGGGTCCACAATGGCAGGTTAGGAGCTGGAGGGCAAGGGGTCCGCAGACAAAGGTATCCTCGCTGCAGACAGGAGCAGAGGGGCAAGGCCAGGCTGCCCTAAAGGAACGCGCGACGGGCCCTTCAGAGCACCTCAGAGCCTTGGTGCTGCGAGAAACCCAAGGTCAGCGAGCCCGCCCAGGCCTGCCTTCCCCATTACCCCGGGGCTGGCGCCCAGGGCCAGGCAGACACCCCTGGCTGATGAGACCCTTCCTTTCGCACAGCCCGGGTTTTGCGTTGTTGTTGTTTTAAATGGCCACGTAAGTACGATTCTACCCTCGTAAACGTGTCCAGTGCTGCTCATTAGTGCGCCTTGTCATGTGGCGGCCACCACCCCTCTGCGCGGCTCCAAGACCCACCTCCCTCCCGCACGGGCTAAACCGCACCCCCGGAGCCTTTCTTCTCGCTTCCCCCTGCGAGGTGCCCCGGCCAGCCCTTTCCGCCCGAGAATCTTATGTTCAACAATCAACGAAAGGTCCTCGAAGCCAGAACGAACGGCCACTTCCCACAGCGGGATCCGGCCGCGACTGCTTTCATCTTTCTCTAGTGCTGGTGGCTGCAGCTTGGATCCTAGTCTCCGGCCCGGGTCGGTGCGGACGGTCTCGCTGCGACACCTGGGAAGTCCGCACTGAGCCGGTGACTCGCGCACCGAGCACCGGGGCCGCGTCCTCCGTGTTCCCCGCGCTCGGCTGCGTAGTCGCGCGCCTGCGAGAGGAAACGAACGAGGTGTGCGCCCCGCGCTCCCGGCCCACGTGACCTGCCCCCAACGGGCTCCGTCACGTGACAGTGGAGTTGCAAACGTCTTCCTCACGTGACGGAGGCCCGGTGTGTGGACCAATGAGGAGGCGGGGCGGGCTGTCAGGGGTGCGCGCGAAGGTGCTCCGGCCATCCACGCTTCCGAGAGGAGGGAAGCCGCCAGTCTCTGCCCGGCGCAGGCCAGCCGGCCTGGGTGCAGGCGGCGGCATGAAGTGTCTGGTCACAGGCGGCAACGTGAAGGGTGAGTGGGGCCTGGCGGGGTCGGGGGGACGTGGGACTGCCCGAGGCTCCAGCCTAACCCCTGATGCTCTTCTCCCCACGCAGTGCTCGGCAAGGCCGTCCACTCTCTATCCCGAATCGGGGACGAGCTCTACCTGGAGCCCCTGGAAGACGGGGTGAGGAGCTGGAGTCCGGGACGGGATGGGATTCCAACAGGGAGCCCTAACCTGGGCTTGAGTCTCGCCTCCACCAGGCAGGATGCCCGGGACAGATTTGTCAGCTGAGTTTCAGTGTCCAACCCCGGTGCTGGGGCACCAGTTTGGGCCCTGTCGTTTCCCAGGCCTGTGTGTGGACTGAGGACAATTGTTCTCCCTGAAGTGCCAGGTGGCCGGTGGGGGTGACTGGGGGAAAGGCGCAGTGAGTTGGTGTAAGGCCCTGGTGGGAGCAGTGCTGAGGCCAGCTCTGGGGAGGCTTCGTGGAGAAGGTATCCGATGACCGGAAGGGGTCAGGATTTCAACAGGTGATGGTGGAGGTGCAGGACATTAGGGCAAGTGTCACTGCCCTGACTGCGTTCCTCTCCCTGCTTTTCCTTGCCCAGCTCTCTCTCCGGACCGTGAACTCCTCCCGCTCTGCCTATGCCTGCTTCCTCTTTGCCCCGCTCTTCTTCCAGCTGTACCAGGCGGCCACCCCTGGTCAGGACCCACTGCGCTGTAAGATCCTGATGAAGGTGAGGTCCTCCCCTCAGCAGCGGTACTGCACCCCCCAGGAGCCCCCGCAGCAGTGCGGCTGCTCTGGGCACTCAGTAGATGCTGACTGGGGAGAGAGGTGTGTGCGGGGGCAATCCAGTGCACAGTGCAGCGAGGAGCACAGTGAAGACATCTGCAGAGGGGAATGCAGACGAGGAGAGGGTGATCAACCCTACCAGGGACCTGGAGAGAGAGGTGACATTCAAGCAGGTCCTGCAAGGCATCCAGACAGGGAGCAGCATGAGCAGAGGCCTAGAAATGTGTCAATGACGGATAGTTGTGGGAGCTCCCTTCCTGGTCTGACGGTGCTGAGCCCATGATGGGCTAAGGGCCCACAGGGGACGTGAGAACTGGTGGTTGGAGGTACAGTGTTGGCCTGATGTGTTTCCCCCACCTAGTCGTTCCTGTCAGTCTTCCGCTCGCTGGTGATGCTGGAGAAGACAGTGGAGAAATGCTGCATCTCCCTGAATGGCAGGAGCAGCCGCCTGGTGGTCCAGCTGCACTGCAAATATGGTGAGTGGGCAGCTGGCCAGCAAGGGGGTTCCTGGGGTGTGGGGGTGGAGGTTGGCGAGGTCCTGAGACTCTGTCTGCCCGTCCAGGGGTGAGAAAGACTCACAACCTGTCCTTCCAGGACTGTGAGTCCCTGCAGGCTGTCTTCGACCCAGCCTCGTGCCCCTATCTGCTCCGGGCCCCAGCAAAGTAAGTACACCGCCTGCCCGAAAGCTGAGCCCTAGGTCTCCGTCTTCCTTCTTTGGGGCCTCCAGGGTCAATTTAAGAAGGCACCGCTACCACTTTTCCTACAGGGTTTGTGTGAACCTCAGCAGCCATCCAGCCCAGTTTGCTCTCAGGTCCTTGTCTGTCTCTTTAAGAGGGGGAGTAGAGGAGGGACAGGGGCTCCCTTGCTGTAGGCTCCTCACTGTCTTCAGGAGCCTCTAGTCTCACCCCAAGAGCCCAGCTTGTCTTTCTGGCCAGTCAGCCTTCTGGAGAGTAGGTCTCTGGCCTGAGCAGCCTTGAAAGTCTGTCGTCAAGCTTTGTAGCTCAGGGTCAAAACCCTTCTTTGGTTTGGTTATCCTTCTGGGGTGCTCCCCACTCCAGGGCAGCCTCTCCCTACCTGCCCTGACTTTAGCCTTGAGTCCTCAGGTCAAGGCAGGAGGCTGGGTGGGGAGGTTGTGGTCCAGGAGGCCTGCCTAACAAGCAGCTCCAGAGCTGGAACCATCCGGGCAATCCGAGCCCCCGGGGGCTGGGAGGTGGGGACTGCAGTGGAGGCCCAGGTCCCTGGTGAAGACCAGTGCAGAGGGGTGGCTCCCTTCCCGCCCATGCTGGGTGCTCCTGGCATTCAAGTAGCCCAAGGTCTTGTTCATTTCTTCTGGTAGCCATAGGCCATGTAACGTGAAGGTCCCTTTGGGTCCTGGCTATATGGTTTCTGAGTTCTGTGTGTAGCACTGCTCCTTTAGGTAGAGAAAGAGGGAAGGCTATCACCTCTGGACTGGATTTTGAGGCTACTTCTCTTTTTTAATGGGTAATTTTTTCTTTTTCTTACAATTTTAAATACATATAAAAGATGCCAGCTCCTGTCCCAACTGTCTTGAGGCTAATTCTAAATATTACTTCATTTGTAACTACTTATTACCATGTATCCCTAAAAAACAAGGGTGTAGGGTTCTTTTTGAAGGCCAAGTGGTAAGGATAGAATGGGTGTGGTTTCCCACCCCTGGATGGACAGGTGTTGTCTGCCTGGTATAGCCCATCCTTCCTGCTGCTTTCTCTGGGCTCTACTCTTGTCTGTCCTGTCCCTTACAGTGGACTTTGCTGCCATGACAGCCTGGGAGCTTTTGATGGGGCAGGAACCATGTCTTGCTCACCCTGTCCTCCTTCCTGGGGCATGCTAGGCCTGGCTCATGGCAATCCCCCTTCCATACTGGTGCGTATATCACTGTCCTGCCTCAGGTCCTCTGAGAGCAAAACCACTGGGTAGGGCCAAGCCTTAGGTGTGATGCTCTGCCCTCCTCACAGGCTTCTGGGGGAGGCTGTTCTGCCCTTCCCCCCTGCACTGGCTGAAGTGACGCTGGGCATTGGCCATGGTCGCAGGGTCATCCTGCGAAGCTACCAGGAGGAAGAGGCAGGTGAGGGATCTGGACAGGGCCTGGGATAGGGAATGATGGGGTGGGAGGAGCTAGGACCCATGGGCCCAGGTTCCTCTTGTTCCTGCCCCCACAGACAGCACCATCAAAGCCATGGTGACTGAGATGAGCATTGGGCAGGAGGATTTCCAGCAGCTGCAGGCCGAAGAAGGGGTGGCCATCACTTTCTGCCTCAAAGAATTCCGGGTGAGGTTCCCCCCATACCCTCACCATCCCATCCTCCCTGTCCTGCCCAAGGCCTCACTGCTCTGCTCTCTCCTCCCAGGGGCTCCTGAGCTTCGCAGAGTCGGCAAATTTATCTCTTAGCATTCACTTCGATGCTCCCGGCAGGTAATTCCCAGCCTCAGGACAGGGAGGGGAGGGCTCTGGGGTGCCAGGAGCCACAGGGCCCTTACCTTGTCTGGGACCCATCATCTGCCCAGGCCAGCCATCTTTGCCATCAAGGACTCGCTGCTGGATGGCCACTTTGTTCTGGCTACACTCTCAGAGCCAACCCCAAACTCCCAGGACCTGCACTTCCCGGAGCCCTGCCAGCCAGCGCCTCAGCGCCAGGCCCACAGGTGAGGGTTTCCACCGGCCCACCCTCCCAAGTGGCTCTGAGCACCCTGGCCTGAGCCTGCTGCCTCCAGCTTCAATACCTCCCCCTCCATACAGACATTTCCTGTAAGGCCCCAGCCCCTACAGTGCTTCCAGCTTCCAGCCTCGCAGGCTCAGCCTTCCTGGTCAGCTGTGCTCAGAGATCCCTCCCACCCAGGGGAGTGTCCCCAAGGTCAGGCTAGCTTCCTTCTCTGGCTGAGACCTCCCCACTGAGCTTCCTCCCAGACTGGGAGGGGAAGGGGGTTGCTGGAGGCTAGGGGCTGCCTGGGGTGAAAAGCAGGTGGCGGGAAGGGTAGGTGGTTCGGGGAGGATGGGGCGAGTATAGTTTAAGCAGAGGAAGTTTAGTCTGGCCCCCTGCCCAGCAGGTCCCTGGGCCTTAGTGCTCTCCAGCTCCTCTCCCCTGGGAAGGCGAGATATTGGGCCCAAAGTGGCCCAGCTCACCGGACTTACTATTCCCCTCCCCCAGCTGAGCTAAATGGGCCCCCAGGATGCCTCCCTTAGGCCCCTATTTGAACTCTGATCAAAAGATTCCAGGCCCAGCCCCTCCAGGAAGCTGCCACTTAACCCTTGTATCCTCTCTCCTCCAACCAAATAAGGAAGTAATAAAACTAAGAGCTCACCAGTGGTCACAAGGCCCCACACCAACCCCCACCACAGCCCTCCAAGGTGGGCTCTTTTCCTGTTTCTCACTGACATCATCTTTACCTGCAGCACCCCCCAGCCGGATGACTTTGCCAGTGACGACATTGACTCTTACATGATCGCCATGGAAACCACTGTGGGCAGTGAGAGCTCAAGAACACTCCCCTCCGGCTCCCTCTCACCTGGCCTCCAGCCTCCCTGCAGCTCCGAAGGGGAAGAAGATGAAGCTGAGGCTGAGCTCAGTACAGTGCCTGGGACCCCCCCACCCAAGAAGGTAGGGGCTGGAAGTGGAGGCAGAGGATGGGGTGCCAGGTGGGAGCAGCCTCCACAACTCACTGAGCTTCCTATTCTTCCAGTTCCGCTCACTGTTCTTTGGCTCCATCCTGGCTCCTGCACACTCCCCGCTGGGCCCCAGCCCTGTGTTGGCGGAAGACAGTGAGGGTGAAGGCTGAACTGAGAACCTCTTCTGTGCCCAGAGGCCCTGGACTAGATGAAGCCACAGCCTCTGGCTCCTCAGCGCCAGCCAGGGCCAGGGCTGGGTCTCCACGCTGGCGTTGGTCAAGGTGGGCTGGAGCTGAGCTGGCTGGTCCTGCTGCATCCCCATGCCCCAACCGGCTATTGGTAACTGGCCTGGGTCCTGTCATGTCCCCCAATCATGTCTGTTTCGAGGGGAGGTCCACCTGAGAAGAGGTCCCACACCTTATTCCAACCTTGAAACAGAAGCTGGACACCTATCTTCCTTAAGAAATCACAGTGGGGCTGCTGGCCCATTGATCAACTTTTTCTGACAATCATGACTTGTCCCTCCTCCAAATCGGGGATGTCCTATGGCTGGCTGGCTGGCCTTGCTTTTTCAATATTTTTTGGCTCTGGCTGGGAATTCTAAGAAGGCCCTGTGGACCTTAACATGTGGCTGGGGCCCCATGCCTGGCAAGCCACCCCTTGCAAGTGGCTCTGGGCAAAAGAGTGCCAGGCCCACTGTTTGGGACAAGGGAGACAGGCCAGGGCAAGAATCCAGCTTTGACCTTTATTCAAGAGACCAGATGGGTTGCCCAGGATCCGGCTGCCAGCCCTGAGGCCAAGCAAGGCTGGAGACCCACAATCTGGCCCTGCTTTGCCCTGAGCTGCAGCCTCAGCCCCAGGATCCTGCTTGCAGCCACCGAGGCACAGGCAGAGGGAGCCCTGGGGGCTTGGACACTGCTATTGATTCATTAAAAAAAGGAAAAATTCATCAAGGCTCCATGTTCCCTGTGACAGCAGGCCTAGGAAGTCAGCATGACCCCCCCATGCTGCGTGGTTTCTGTACAATCCACCATCTAGGGCAGAGGGCGGGCACGTGGAGGCTATTTCTTGGCTTTGGCGGAGTTACGGGGTGGGGTGATGGGCCGGCCACCAGGGTTCAGGCCACTGAACTGCCCATATTTCCCCTTGTTCTTGTCGGCGGGCTTGAGGATCTAAAAGAGACAACACTGGTCAGGCTCATGGGGCTGAGCCAGGGGCCACCAGCCCCTTCCTTCCCCATCCCCACCTGGAAGGAGCACATGAGCGTCTCGTCCACGCTCATCATGGCGCCAGCATTATCAAACTCGCCGCAGTAGTTGGGAGCTGAGAAGAGTGTCACCAGCTGCCGCTTGGCAAAGAACTCATAGCCATCTTCTACCACCTGGACAAGGATGGGGCAGAGAGTTAAGCAAGTGCTGGCTGCCCAGGGCCCTCTCCTACCTGGACCAGAGCTGCCAGCCCACCTGGTGTGCCCGGCAGATGAGGTCCAAGTCGTGCTTGTGTAGGAACTTGGCCACCACCTCAGCCCCGAAGGTAAAGGAGACACCACGGTCGTTCTCGCCCCAGCCCTGCACGTCCTTGTCAGGGTCGGACCACAGCAGGTCACACAGCAGCCCCTGGTCAGGCACATCTGTGGGCCGCATGATACGCCGAATCTGCTCCATGGACTGTAGGTCGGGGGACAGACCTGGAGGACACAGGTGGCACATCACTTCCTCAAGCCTCAAAACAAGGATGCCCCCCCCCCCGCCCCCAAAAGCCCTGGCCAATCAGCTTTTGTGCACGCATACACTCCACCACTACCCCCTGGCTCTCCTGGATTTTGGGAACCCCGGCAGACAGAACTCATTACCTTCTGCCTCTTTTAAGTCCCTGCCTTCTAGGAGCGCAGAGCTCCCTAGAGAAAGGAGCAAGCAAATTCCATGCATAATGCTGAGGCCACAACAGTGGCGAGTGCAGCCTGACACCAAGGAGCAGGGGAACATCCTGCAGTAAGTGACATCCAAGCCCAGACCCCAGGGAGAGCTGTTCCAGGCGACTAGGAACAAGTCCTCTAGCTGACAGCTTCTTCCCATGAACTCCCTCAGCAGGTGCCCCGCAGCCGCCCTCACCTCCGTGGCAGCAGAAGATCTTCTCGTCCACGATGGCTGCAATGGGCAGGCAGTTGAAGCAGTCGGTGAAGGTTTTCCACAGTTTAATGTTGTAGCGCCTCTTGCCTGCCCAGGGGAAGGAGAATGGCTCATGAGCAGGCCTCCAGGGCCTCCCAGACACAGCTGGGAGGGCATGGGAGATAAGACGGGAACCCCCACCACACACACTGCCTACCAGCCTTCTAGGGGGACTTCTACAGTAGCTGAATCCACGGAACCCCAAAGTTCCAATCTGGAACAGTGTTGGGGTTAGCATCCACCCCCACCCTATGAGCAGGACCAGGCCAAGACTGGGTCTGGTTTATCTCAGCTTCTGGCCAACAGAGTCCAGTCCAGGTAGGTGTCCTAAGTGCTTAAGTAGGAGATGTACTAGAGGCAGTGCCACCAGACAGGGTTCTGCATTAGCCCTTCAGTCAGCAACCATTCACCAGACCCCTGTTGAGTGCCAGACCCCGTGGCAGGAGGGCAGGGCTCTGCCAGACATGGATACCCCTACCACCAGGCCAACTGAATAGCAGGGAGAGCTCTTCAGGCCTTGGGCAGCCCCAGGCACGAAGCTACTCACACTCATCATAGAAGCCGTAGATGCGGTTGATGCTGGCACACTCGTGGTTCCCACGGAGCAGGAAGAAGTTCTCGGGGTACTTGATCTTATAGGCCAGCAGCAGGCAGATGGTCTCCAGCGACTGCTTGCCCCGGTCTACATAGTCCCCCAGGAAGAGGTAGTTGCTCTCTGGAGGGAAGCCCCCGTATTCGAACAGCCGCAGAAGGTCGTAGTACTGGCCATGGATGTCACCTGTGACCCAGGGAACCACGTCAGTACCCGTGCAGGGTCTAGACTTGAACCCAGGACCAGGGTTGGGCTCAAGATTAGAAGGATCCAGGGATTTGGGGGGCCAGTGCCGCCTTCAGGAAACAAAGGGGCCTGGGCAGGAGTCTCACCGCAGATCTTGAGGGGTGCCTCCAGCTCCAGAAGGATGGGCTGGCTCAGGAAAATCTCCCGGGATTTGAGGCACAGGCCACGGATCTCATTCTCTGTCAGCTGTACATTCTTCCCAGGCCGCGAGCCCTGCACTGGAGGCAGACGGGCGTCAGGACCCTGGTCCCCCAGACAGGAGGAGGCTGGGCGACACGGGTGCCCCAAGGGCACTTCTGGGGGCGCCAGGGCCTCCTGGGCCCCTCCTTGCCCCGGACAGATGGTGCTGCTGCGCCTCCCAGGACACGAGGTAGCCTCCCAACTACCCACAAGGCGCTCCAAGGGACTGCTGTGCGCAGGTGCTGCCACCCCAAACCCCTCGGCGCAGGACCCTTGGGTGGGGTGGGGGGGCTGTCTAGGTTTCTCCCTCGCTCCAAAAGACCAGGCCAACCGTGCGCCCCAGGCCCGGGAGAGGGGGCTCCCCGTGCCCCAGCAGCCCCAGATCCCCCAAGCGCGTCGCGAGTGGGGGGGGTGGCTGAGGCCGTGGGACCTCGCGGCCCGTCCCCGCCCGTCTAAGCGGCCCTGGGAGGGGCAGGCGCCCCCGCGCGCCACTTCCGGGCCGGGCCGGGGGTCAGGGCGCAGTGGGAGCCGACCTCCCCCGCCCGCAGCCAACCTTCCAGCAGGCGCCCGATGATCGAGTCCAGGTTGAGCTTCTCACTGTCGGACATGGCAGCTCCGCCGCTCCGGCCCAGCAGCTCCGGGCCCGCTCCTGCCTCCCGCCCTCCGCGGCCTCCTTCCGGCCTGGAGCTCCTTCCGCCCTCCCCGGTCCGCCCCGCCCCGCCCCGCAAGCTCCCTCCCCGGCCCGCGGCCCCAGCTCCATAGCGCCTCCGCTGGACCCTAGCGCAGCGGCCGTGGCGCCCGGGGGGCGGGGCTGCGGGGCGGGGCGGGCCCGACAGGGGGCGGGGCTTCATGGGACGAGGTTGAGGCTGGTTCCGCCCCTGCTCGGCATCACCCAGCCCCTTCCCGAGGCTCTGCGGCCGGAAGTACCTTGGAAGTTGTTTTTCTCTCTCAGGACCTGAACAGTCCTTCCCACCTGGTGTGAGCGCGTTGGTGATTGTTCCCCAGACACTGTGGACTCAGTCCTTCAAGTGCAGAAAAGGGAACTGAGGCTCGGAGACAGCAGGGGGCTGGTCACCTTCACGGAGGACCTGTCTCCTGAGTCTCTGTGGCCCTGCAGGCGGCTGACCAGGACTCCGAGCCCGTTTGGGGCCCCACTGTCTGTGGTGCAACCTAAATTAATATTTATTTATGAGCCCCATCATTGCCTATTGTGTAGCATAATCATGCTGCATGTGTGCACGTCTGGCCCGGCCATCATAGCTCAGTGGTTCAGCGTCCACCTATGAACCAGGACATCACAGTTCCATTCCGAGTCAGGGCACAGGCCTGGCTTGTGGGCTCGATCCCCAGTGTGGGGCGTGCAGGAGGCAGCCGGTCAATGATTCTCTCACCATTGATGTTTCTCTCTCTCCTCCCTTCCTCTCTGAAATCGATCAAAAAATACATATTTTTAAAAGTATTACTTTGTAAAGAGCAAATATTAAATAAACCATAATTCTCACTGGCTCACTGAATTGAGTGTTTTACATGCTCGTCTCCTCAAAACTAGAGGACGCCTGGTCTCTCTACCTCTGGCAACCCTGGCCCCATCACAGCCAGCACAGGAACCCACGCCTGCCCCAAGGGTAGAGGGAGGAGCCGATGGCCCAGGGACACTGGGGTAGGCAGGAAGAGCCTCAGAGAGGAAGGGGTGACCCCCCCACACACTTTGGGGAGGGGCCCCCAGTGAGTTGCTGAAGCTGTGGCTGAGGAGGAAGTGAGAGGAGGAGGTGAGGTGCAGCAGGAAGGTAAGCTGGGGCTGGGCCTGGGGCTGGGTCTCTGTACAGAGGCCTGGCTTTGCTGCCACTTCAGGGCCCACCCCTCCAGAAGAGGGGCTAGAGGGGCTTGGTGAGAGACCCTGAAACCTCCTCCCTACACTCGCAGCCAGGTTCTGCGGCTGAGGACGGGCTGCCTGGGAGCCCAGGCCCAGACTGGCCAGGAGCTGCCTCTCACGCTCGCTTTCCCCGCATCTTGCAGCTGTTACATTGCGGGTCTGCGACAGCATGGCCCAGTCCCTGGGTGAGGACCTGGTGCAGGATGACTCCAGCTCTTTGGGTTCTGACTCAGAGCTGAGTGGCCAAGGCCCATATCGCCAGGCTGACCGCTATGGCTTCATTGGGGGCAGCTCAGCAGAGCCAGGGTAAGTGGGGAAGGAAGTGGGGGGTGGGGGCTGGGGGGGAGGGGGAATGCATGGATTGAGGGTGGGGGCTGAGGGCTGATTTCTAGAGTGAGGCCCAACCTCAAGGGTCCTGGAAAGGGCTGGGGTTCAACCAGTGTCACTCCTCAGGCTCCAGGTAGAATCCTAAGGATGGCAGGGCTGGGGGTAATATGTCCAAGTATGCCTCTTTTAAAAATATATATTTTTATTGATTTCAGAGAGGAAGGGAGAGGGAGAGAGAGAGAGAAACATCAATGATGAGAGAGAATCATTGATTGGCTGCCTCTGGCACACCCCTCACTGGGGATCAAGCCCACAACCCGGGCATGTGCCCTTGACTGGAATCGAACCTGGGACCCTTCAATCCGCAGGCCAACACTCTATCCACTGAGCCAAACCAGCCAGGGCCAAGTATGCCTCTTTCACACCCAGTCTCCGAGGGTGTGTACCCACCCTTGGAGCCAAACATTCTTCCCCTTTTAATCTCTGGCCCAAGAATCCCAAATCCGAATCACAGAAACCCACACCTCTTCCCCCACACGTCCCGTTCCCAATCTATAGAGAGGATAATGAGCCCAGAGACACAAAGGAACTTGCCCGAGGTCACACCGCAGCTCAGAGACAGAACCAGACGCAAACTCTGGGACTCCTGGCTTCTAGAACAGGGTTCTGTCCACTCAGCTTCTGCTCTGAGTTGTCTGCGCCCCTATTCTGGGGACAGCCAACCGGCCCCTCCCCCAACGCACATCTACACCCCCCTGCTTCTGAGTCTTTCCTGCTTCTGCCCACATCAGAGCCACATCCTTTCCTGTCCCCATAACAACTACTGGCAACTCCTGGGTGACAGGTCAGTTCCCCAGTGGCTGCACAGGGTGCAGGAGAGTGTCGGATGTAGGCTCCCGGTAACAGCTGCCCTGCATCTGCATGTCTGACATGTGCTCCCAGGCCAGGTCACCCTCCCGCAGACCTTATCCGGCAGAGGGAGATGAAGTGGGTGGAGATGACTTCACACTGGGAGAAAACCATGTCTCGCCGGTACAAGAAGGTGAGAGGGCAGTGGCCCACCCGGCCTCCTTGGCTCAGCACCCTTTGCCTTGGTCCAGGCCCAGGCAACATTTACCCCCCCTGCGTCCCGCACCTCCTGCCTTTTCTCCCGACCGCCCAAAGTGGCCCTTGCCCCATGACAGGCTGTGTTTGGTGCCTGCTCAGAGGAGCAGGGGAGGCTGGGGGGCTGGCCTACTGGGGTCCCTTGGCCTCCCCCACAGGTAAAGATGCAGTGCCGGAAAGGCATCCCCTCAGCCCTGCGTGCCCGGTGCTGGCCCCTGCTGTGCGGGGCTCACGTGTATCAGGAGAACAACCCTGACACCTACCAGGTAAAAGCGTGGGCAGGGGTCCTACTTCCCCTTCCCGGAGCCCCTCGCCGCTCTGAGCCCTCGCATCCACCTTCCTGCCCACCCACAGGAACTGGCTAAGGCCCCAGGAGATCCGCAGTGGATGGAGACCATCAGCAGGGACCTGCACCGCCAGTTCCCACTGCACGAGATGTTTGTGTCACCCCAGGGGCACGGGTACGAGGCCAGTGATGCCCAGGGATCCCGGCCTCACAACCCCAGGCATTCGGTCTAGCCACCCTCCCCACCCCCACCCCTGCTCCCCCAGCGTCAAGTCTTGCATCTCAGGGGATCCAGCAAGGCCAGGGTGGTGAGGTCTGGGCAGAGGCTGCCAAAGGTTGGGGAAGGGATGCCTAATGGGGTCTTCTGGCACAGGCAGCAGGGGCTCCTGCAGGTACTCAAGGCCTACACCCTCTATCGGCCGGAACAGGGCTACTGCCAGGCCCAGGGCCCTGTGGCTGCTGTGCTGCTCATGCATCTGCCCCCTGAGGTGAGTGCCCCTGACCCTGCGCTAGGGACCCACGACCCTGACCCCCCCCCAACCTCACTCACCTTGTCCCCAACCCAAGGGACTCTGAATTTGTGTACTTGTGACCCTTGATCCCCAACCCTAGTGACCCTGGGCCCTTGTAGTCCTGGGCCCTGGACCCATGACTTCCTAACCCCAGGTTCTCTGACCTCAGGGACCTGGGATCCTTGCCTCCCAGATCCGGTCCTAGTGATCCAGGGCCTCATTACTGCCAACCTCAGTGACCTTCAAGCCCAACAAGCTTGACTCCAGTTACCTTGCTCAGTGATCTCGGAGTCTGGATGTTATTACCTTGACCTCATGACTCCCAGTTCTTTTGTTGTTGTTTCTGTTTGTTTTTTGTTAATCCTCACCTGAGGATATTTGTCCCATTGATTTTTTTAGAGAGAATGGAAGGGAGGAGGAGAGACAGGGAGAGAGAAACATCGATGTGAGAGACACATCGATTAGTTCCTCCCACAAGTTCCTCGACCAGGGGACTGAGTGTGCAACTGAGGGACGTGCCCTTGACTGGAATCGAACCCGGGACCCTTCAGTCTAACCACTGAGCCAAACCAGCTAGGGCCCGACTCCTGGTTCTGAACCTTACAAACATGATCCCTTGACCCAATGACTCCAAGAACCCAGTACTTGAACTCTGAGCCCCCAACCCTTGACCAGTGAGCCCCAACCCTGTTGACCCTCAAATTCAACACCCTGAGCTCTGTGACCAAATCATGGGTAGCTCTCTCTCTGGGCACAGGCAGGCTTTTGGTAAAAGCCCCCCAGCACTGCGTTCAGGCTTCTGGCTTGAGCCACCACAGATGGTGTCCAGGGCTCCCCTGCACCCCTTCCCCTGCCCTGCGGTCCCCTTGGTGGTGGGCACTCACGCCCGGCTCTGTCCTCAGGAGGCCTTCTGGTGCCTGGTGCAGATCTGCGAGCTTTACCTGCCCGGCTACTATGGGCCCCACATGGTGAGAGGCTGAATGGGGCCAGAGGGCACAGCAGGGGGGCTGGGCAGGCGGGTGGAGGCCTGGGGAGGGAGCGGAGGTACTGACGGACGTGGCTGCAGGAGTCTGTGAGGCTGGACGCCGAGGTGTTCATGGCCCTGCTGCGGCGGCTGCTCCCACGCGTGCACAAGCACCTGCAGCAGGTGGGCGTCGGCCCCCTGCTCTACCTGCCCGAGTGGTTCCTGTGCCTCTTCGCCCGCTCCCTGCCCTTCCCCACCGTGCTGCGTGTCTGGGACGCCTTCCTCAGTGAGGGTGAGTGGGGACTGCCAGGCGGGCGGTGGGGCCAGGGCTACAGCCTTGGGTGCTCCGTGCGCAAGGAATGAACCCGCCAGCTCTGCTCTGCCCCGCCCGCTCTTGCCCATCCTGGCCCTGGGTCTGGGTGGCCGGGTGTGCTGAGGGTGTTGGTGCCCTGCCAGCTCTGGGGAGACAGCCCGGCCCCCGGCCACGCACTCCCAGTGTAATGAATGGTCGCCCCTGCCCTGTGTGGTGAGACCACTACAGGGAGGGCAGCCTCTGCCAGGGCAGGGGCAGGGGGCCGGGGAAGGCTGGACCAGGGAGGCTCCCTCTAGGCAGATGCGGCAGGAGCCATGCAAGGGCTCAGGGGCTGGCACAGCGGGGACATGGCCAACGGTCGAGGCCCGCACCCTGGAGCCCGAGTGCCTACTTGGTGTGTGCTCACTAGTGCCCGGTGCTGCCCTGTACACTGGGGCCACCTGTGTGAGGGGACCTACATTCTGGGGGTGGGGATGCAAGGCTCCTGTAACCACATTTTTGTTTATTTATTTTTTAATATATTTTTATTACTGCTTTCAGAGAGAAAGGGAGGAGGGATAGAAACATCAACCATAAGAGAGAATCATTGATCGGCTACCTCCTGCACACCCCACACTGGGGATCGAGCCCACAACCTGGGCATGTGCCCTGACTGGGAATCGAACTGTGACCTCCTGGTTCTTAGGTTGCTGCTCAACCACTGAGCCACGCCAGCTGGGCTAATTTTTAAATATTTAAAAGTGTTTATTGTACTTTTTTATTATTTATTATTTTCCTTTTTAATTAATATTTTACGCAGGCAGGACACTGTCCACAGGGTCCAGGCTGCAGATGACTCGGGCGGGGTGTGAAGAGGGCTGGATGCCAGGGCCAGGCCAGGAGTCGGGGAGTCGGGGCAGAGCCGAACCGGACTCCAGGTCTTTGGGGCTCGGCCTCCCTTCTCCCATCAGTCACCTGCCTGCATTCTGTCCATCTGGGTTGTCCAGCAGTTGCACCTGAAAAATGGTAGAAATTCCTCAGTGCTTTGAGCTGCTGTGTGCCCGGTGGGCTCCACGCTGGCTTAGAGCTCTGGCCGTGGTGTCCAAGTCGCCTTCTGTGGGCCTCCTCCCCTCCAGCTCAGACGTCCAGGGCGGTGTGGCTGAGCGATCCTTGCCCTCCCCATTGAGGACAAGCCCTCCCTGGGCTCCCTTCATAGTCACTATCGACCCTTCACAGTTGTCGCTGGGCCGCGCTGGTCCCCTGAGCGCTCTCCTTAGCAGACCCGAGGCTGCCTGGAAGGGAGTCTGAGGATTCTGGGGCAGCCCACGGTCACACCTGTGTCCACGCGTATGTGTGCACGCACAAGTGCGCTGTGCTCTCGGCTTAGGGAGGAGCAGCTCTGGCCGGAATCTCTCTGGAACCAGAACAAGCTGGAAGGGCCTGAATGGGAACCCCTGCCCGGCCCAGCCTTGTAGGAACACAGAGCTGAGACCCAGAGAGAGAGAGAAGGCTTTGTGTGAGGTTGTCAGTCCCCCCTGGCTCCTGGCAGGTGCTCTGCCCGGGAGCATCTGTGGCTGCTGAGACATGCTCACCAGTGACCCTAAATTGCACTCCTCTTCGTCCTTGCTGCTGGCCTGGGTTGTGTATAGAGTTTGGGGGGGGTGTGGGGGGTGGTGGAAGGAATCTGGGGAGAGGGCAGCTTCACGTGCAGGTTCAGGAGGGGCGGGCTGGCCCCACTGAGTGAGCCTGGTCTGCAGGTGTGAAGGTGCTGTTCCGTGTGGGGCTGACGCTGGTACGCCTGGCGCTGGGCACCGCAGAACAGCGCCTGGCCTGCCCGGGGCTCCTGGAGACACTCGGTGCCCTTCGAGCCATCCCCCCCGCCCAACTGCAGGAGGAGGTCTTCATGTCCCAGGTGGGTGCCCCCTGCCCGCCCTCCCCTGCCGCACAGTCGGGGAAACTGAGTCCCAGAGCCAGAGTCATAGTGAGAACCAGTGCTTAGTTCCTGCCCTGTGAGCACAGAGAATGTGAAAACCCCAGGCCTCAAGCGGCTTTCTATGACTCCCTCTGAGCCTGCCAGCCCCTCAGCCCGCAGCCACTTCCTGGGGCTGTGTACTGCCCGCCCTACGGGGACCTCACGGCTTCCTGGCTTCCTGCCTTCCTGCCATCCAGGCAAACTCAGTACCAACTGCTCCCCGCAGGTGCACAGCGTGGCCCTGTCGGAGCAGGACCTGCAGCGGGAGATCAAGGCCCAGCTGGCCCAGCTGCCAGAGTCGACTTCCGGGCCACCTCCTCGGCCAAAGGCCCGCCTGGCCGGGGCCCAAGCCATCTTTGAGGCCCAGCAGCTGGCCCGGGCGCGGGGCGGCACCAGGCCTGAGGTGCCCCGCATCGTCGTGCAGCCCCCAGACGAGCCCAGGCCACCGCGGCGCAAGCCCCAGACCCGAGGCAAGACTTTCCATGGGTTCCTGACTTGGTCCAAGGGCCCCCCTCTGACGGGCCCCCCCAGGTCCCATCGAAGCTCCACCTCCTTCTCGGACACCCGATTTTGAAGGCCCCACTTCTGAGGGTACCATGGACTCAGTGTCCCCCAACCTCAGTGACCTGAATGGCTGATGCCAGCCTCACAAATGGGCACCGCACTTTATCGCTGGGATTTAGGGGCTCAGCCGCCTTCTCCCTGTCCATCCGCCAAGGGTAGTAAATGAACCAGGAGGCATCGGCTAGAAATAAATGATTAGGATTTATTCATAGTTCTTAGTGTTTGCAAACCCCGAACATGACTGGGCAACACCCGGTGTCCGGGTGAAGAGGAGCCGAGAGCTGTGCGGAAAGCACCTCCCTGCGCGGCCGGAGAAGCGCTCTCCCGGGCGGCAGGCAGGCAGCAGGCGAACATTCTTTCCTCAGTTCCTCATTTTCCATAAGTCCTACCTATAGGCATCTCCAGGCAGTGACGCACAACTGAGGAGCTCAGAAGTTCAACTCCTCAGGCTAATTAAAGTGAATAAAGTACTTTTCCCCATGAACCTTCCGAGCAGCTTGATGAGCGACTCCGTTCTGAGTCAGCTTAGCTACACTGACTTCAACTTGTTTTCTTCGCTCATTCCTCGCACGGACTGTGCCAGGCACAGGATGAAGGAAGGTCACAGACTGGGGTTTGGGGGCCCAGGCCCACCATCACCCCACAGAGCTGTCTCCTTGCAAGCACAGAAGTGATGCTGAAGGAGCGTGGGGGTCAGGGTGGCCTGCTGGGCTAGGGGACCCCAAAGGACTCCTGGGGAGGCCTGGAATAAAGTCTGATTTAGCAGAAGCCTGCACGGAGTTGGATCAGATGTCCTCCACCCCCAACCCTAGACCAGCTGCCCTTCCTGCCCCTCCCTCCCCACAGCCCCGCCCCTCCTAGCGCCACAGCCACACCACGGCTGCCCATTGGCTGCTGGAAGGTGTTTACCAGCAACGGGGCCCAATGGGGAGCCCGCCTTGCTCAGCCTCTTGGGGCAGGTAGCACCTGTGGGAGGAGGGCTCCCCAAGTGGGTGCTGGGCCCAGAAGTGGGGCTTATCCCCTATTCTGCTTCTCCCCAAAATCTGGTTCAGGACCCGGGGTTCGGTGGGGGGGGCTCTAACCCAAGTTCACACCCCACCCATGATCCGGGCGGGAACAAAGGCCTAGTGTGCCCAGGACAAAGGAGAAAGGTCCCGCTGGCCCTTGTCCCCTGCTGAAGCCTTGCTGCAGCCCCTGGGACTGCCACCATGGAAACCCCTCCTACACTCGTTAATTGCCCCCGTGGGTGCCTGGGACAGGAGCCATCGTCAGGACAACAGGGCTGGCTCCCTGTCCTGCTGCCCTTTCCCCTGGGCACCCTCCCAGCAGGGTGGGAGGAGGAGGGTGGGGCGTGGCAGGAGTGGGGGGTAGAGGAGAAAGCACGCGGAGTCCTGCTTAGATGGAGTAGTGGCCGCCCTAACCCTAACCCTAACCCTAACCCTAACTGCCCTGCCAGCCTGCTTGCCTCACATCCCAGCGCCCTGGGCCTGACTTTCCTCCCTGCATCCACAAGGCAAATGCCACCTCAGCCGGGGCCTAGCCAGGGCGGTCTGGGAGTGGGCACAGAGCCACACGGCTCTCTGGGCATGGACGCACACACTCCGGCGGAGGGAAGAGCCCAGCTACCCACTCACCTGCTGTGTGACCCTGGGCAAGTAACACCACCTCTCTGAGCTGCACTGTCCTCATCTGTAAAAGGCAGAGATTCGTAGCTGCTACTCACAGGGTTAAGTGAGATGTGACACAAAGGCCCTCTACGCAGCACCCAGGACAAGGTCAAGAAACGCTTGCTGTCACTGCTACTGAGCGCCTGCCTTCTGCCAGACGCCCCTCGCCCAGCCTCTGTGAAAGGAGGTTCTGTGATTCCCATCAGAGGATGAGAAAAGTCTGCAGATGCTGCAGAGCTTGTGTGAAAACAGGCCACGGGTCCCAACTGAAGTCACTGATGCTAAGCCACACGTTGTCACCAAACCAAGACTGACTGACAGCTTCCGCTCTCCCAGAAGCGGCATCTTAAACCAGTCCATCGGGAATCACCTGGTCAGCACCGGTTAGAACCCTACCGCCCACGGAAGGAATGCAATAGCCCACCTTGCACTAACCAACCGCTCTTTTGCCGAGAAAACTTCCTCGTTCAGACCCCCTCTGTCTGTAGTCTGTCTATCTGTCTTTTATTTGGGGGGGGGGGGGGACAATTAGCTGTAATTTGGGCCTAGCTGGGACACCCTGAGCCTCAGGCAGGCTGGGACCCGGTCAGGCCAGGCCTCCCCTCCCCCAGCCCCGCCCCTCCCCCACGAGCGGTCCACCCGAGATTCTAATCAGGCCCACAACACTGTGTCCTTCCTTTTTTTTACACCGTGTCCTTCCTTGCCAGGACCTGACTGTTCTTTATCTTTAAATTATCCCAGAGTCTTTGCTTTTGCGCAGCTCCTCGGCTTTCTGTCTGCTGGATTGGCTACTGCCCAATTTATGAATCATTGAATAAAGCCAGTAAGGTCTTTAAAACTTAGTTGAATTTTTGGTTGTCGACACTTGTTAAGTGTCAAGCTCATGCTCTTCAAGGACTTCCGTGCCCCACTCCCGCTGCCATGGCACCTCCTTCCAGGAGCCTGTGAGACCCCAGCAGCCAGCCCTGGATTGCTGTGTGTTGGGGGTGTGGGACGGGCTGGGGGACCCTGTTTAAGTCACTCCTCCCCTCCACGTCCCTCCAGTGGTAAACAGAGGAGGGTCCTCATCGGCGGCTCTGTATACACTTGCAGAAAGGACCCCAAACCGCCAACCCTGTCCCAACAAGTGCCACGGGCCCTCAGGACTCTCCCCAGCCCAGGAGGCACATGGGGACAGCCAGGGGGTCACCAGGGAGAGGGTCTGAGGTGGGGGGTGAGGTGAGGAATTGCAGCAATAGCCTAGCCTACACGTGCTGGGCGCTGGCACGTGCCAGTCCTGAACAGCCCGGTGAGGTGGGAACTAGCCCATCTTAGGCAGGAGGTGAGTGGGGTTCCGACCAGAAAAAGGAGGTGCCCAGGTCCCACGCTGGAGCTAGGATTGGAACCCACCGGGTATGACACTTACACTTGAGCAGAGGGTGAGTCTCTGGCTGTGTATCTGGGGGTGAATTCGTGGCTGTGAGCCAGATCTCTTGGGGTGTGCTTCTGTGGGTGCATCTGGGTGTAAGGGTGGGTGTCTTGGGGAGGCTGTGGGTATCCAGCTGGCCTGGGTGTTGATGGGCAGGGCAGATCCTGTAGATGACCCTCTCCCGGTGCTCAGACTCACGGGCACTCCCCCAGCCTGGGCACCCCCTTCCCTCTGGCCCCCAGTAGGGCAGAGGGTGTCCCAGGGAACTGGGACTGCCTTTGTGGGGACGCCTTACTGAGTGGTCACTACTCCTGTGAGGAGGGGCCCATGCACAGGGACCTGTGGCCGCAGGGCAGAGTGCTCCTGGCCGGACAGACAGCTGCTGGCTGCGGACACCACCCAGGGACAGAGCTCGGACTGTGCCCAGGCTCTCCTGGCCCCCACCCAGGGACAGCCCTGGTACCAGTCTCTGTTGGCTCGGCTCCCCCACCTTCCCCCTCTGCTCGATCCTTCTCTTCCATCGGGGGACGTCCTCATCTCCCCAGCCTATGTCGGTGCCCGCTCTGGGGGTCCGGCCCCGGCCCCGGGCTTTCTGTCTGAGGATGCCGTGTGCTCCTCCGTCGGTCTCTCCCTGGCCCTCCCGGCACCTGCCCCTTCGGGTCGGGTCGGGTGTCCTCTCATCCCAGGGACCCAAGACGTCCCCAGACTTCCCGACCTTCCGACGGGCGGTGGCAGTCTGGGCGGGCCTCCCGCGGGCGGTGGCCTCGGGCCGAGCCGCCCCTCCCAGCGCTGGGCATGCCCCGGGCGCTGCTATATAAAGCGCTGCTGCCTCAGCCCCGCGCTTCGCCAACGTGCCCTGGCTGAGCCCCATCTGGTCCTCGAGTCCCGCCGAGTCCCGCCGAGCCGCTGCCACCCACCAGGTATCCTGGCTCCTGCCCTCGCCCGGGGAAAGCCAGGGAGGAGCGCTATGGGGGCAGGGGCAGGGGCAGGGGCTGCGGCGCGGGGACCCGCGCGCCCCCAAGGGACTGGCTGAGTGCCTGGCCCCCCCAGGGCTGCGGGCAGGAGCTCACACGCCCCGGGGTGATGTGTGAGCTCCCGCGCAGGGTCCCTGGGTCAGGGCGGCAAAATCCCTCCGCCTCCTGGGGGTGGGGGTGGGGGTGGGGGTGGGGCAGGCTCAGGTCCCTCCCGGCTGCGCTGTCCACCTCTCCGCCCCCCTGAGTGTTAGGGGCTGGGCTGTGGGGAGGGGACGGGCGGCCCTGACTCCCTCTCCGGTCTCTTCCTCTGTCTCTGCCGCCAGCTCTCAGCCTCTCTCCACCTGCAAGATGGTGAGTCCCCTCGGGTCCCTCCCCCATGCCCAAGGCCCCCCCAGACAGAGGGCCCAGAGGGCAGCTTCTCCCCAGAAGCCCAGGCCCCTCGCCAACACATGCCCCCTGGCCCTGTCCTGTGTCTGGACGAGCAGCTCCTGCGGGTCAGGCGCTCTTCTCTCCCATCAGCCTGGCAGGTGGGCACTGCTGGCCTCCCTTGGCATCCATTCATTCTGCAACGTTTATGGAGCACCTCCCAGGCACCGGCACCATTCTAGGATTGGGGGGGATGTGACAACGAACCCCGTCTGGGCTCTCGGGGAGTTCGCCTTCTACGGGAGGGCATGAGGCTCAGAGTTTGGCACTGACTGGTGAGCTGGGACCCAGACCTCTGCCCTCCTGGCCGCGTGCAGCACACTGTCCCCCCGGTCACCGAGGTGATGCTTTTGGTCCAAGGTTCATCAGCACCCAAGGGTGGGACAGGACAGGCACCTAGCACCCACAGGCCCAAAGAAATCTCATGACTTGTCCCAGGTGGCCAGCTGGTCCCCTGGAGGAGAGGCCCACTGTGTTCGCTCGAAGCCTCTGAGCAGCCCCAGGTGGGAGTCAAGGATGTAAGATTTCACCCAAAAGCAGCATTTCCATGGCTCAGAGCTGAAAGGAAGGGCATCTGCCTGCTTCTTCCCTACCCATCCCCAGCCTGGGGGTGGGCTTACAGGAAGTCTGACCCTGGGGACGGAAAGGAACAGATTCACCTATAAATCCAGGTCTCAGCAGAGCTCCATGCAGGTGGACGGGTCCCGGAGGCCAAAGAGACACCAGCAGCCAAGAACGATGCTGGGTTATTCTGCTCACTTGTTCTGTCAACAAACATTCACTGAGCAGCCAGCCTGTCAGGCACTGTTTTAGTGCCAGGGCTGCAATGAAGAACAAAACAGACTAAAACCTCTGGCCCTGTGAACCAAGCTAGGGCAAAGCTAGGGCAAACCTGGCAGGGGCGGGGGTGGGGGTAGGGGTGGGGGAAGCGAGGTCCAGCCAGCAGCACCCTCCCTGAGGGCACTGCACGTACAGTCTGCAAAGCATTCCCACCTACACATTACTGGTCTTCATTCCCCAATCAACCGCAGCCTCCCCTGGTTCTTGGGGCGGGGTCTGCCCTGAATGTAACCCAAGGTTAAGTCACTCTTGAGTGACTTAATGCGCCCCTTGCGCTCACCCTGCCCAACACCCACCACTTTCGCCCCCTGCCCCCCAGCTCTCCTCGGATCAGCTGGGTCCCCAGTGGGACTGCCCCCTGGGCTCCAAGGGCCTGGAAGACAAGGAGGGCCCGTGGGGAGGAGGCTCGGGCCTGCCACCCCCAGACTGCTTCCCTGGCTCCTGGCGCGTGGACGTGGGCCTGGACTGCAAGGGCTCCCCCGAAGGGGCAGAGGCGCGGGCCTGGACTGCCTACTACTACAGCCTCCTGCAGAGCTGCCTGCAGCAAGCTGGCCTTCCGGAGACCCAGGACCGCAGCCAGGTGCCCCGCACAGGTGCCCAAGGGCTCCACGGAGGGGGAACCCCTGGGGTGAGGGAGGTGCCCGCAGCCCAGCCTGCTTCCCTCCCTGTCAAGGTCAGTCCCTTCCCCCAGGCTGTGACTAGGTCTGAAGCCCGGGCCAATTTCGGGCAGGCAGGCAGGCAGGCATTGTTTCCACGGGCCTCTGGCACCAGTCACGTCAGAGACCTAGGCTTCCCTCCACCCCCAGAAGGTCCAGCCCCGGAGTTTGCAGCCCATGGTCTGTGGAGCCCCGGCTTCCAGAGAAGTGTCTGGTCTTGGGAGCTGCAGTAGAGGCAGCCAGCAGATGGGACCCCAGCCTCCTTGCCTGCTTCACCTGTTTTACGTATCAGTGGCCACCAAAGCTCTAAAATACAGGAAGAACCAGCCTCGGCTGCGTTGTACAGACTGGAAAACGAGGTGCAGAGGCTCCTCCTCCCACTGCACAGGGGCCAAGGGTCCCAGGAAAGTCAGTGGCGGAGCTCAGGCTAGAACCAAGGTCTCTGGTCACGCCACCTCCAGCGCCTTCTAGACCAGCTGCAGAGAGAAGGGAGCTAGCCTCCCAGGGCAGGGGTGGGCAGCGCTTCCTCTTCCCTCTCTAGCTTCCCCTCTGTCCCTTTAACTGCTCTCATCTATACCCAGAAGGGCCATGGGGGTCAGGAGAGGTGGGCAGGGAGAAAAGCAGGGAGCCCCTGGTGAGCTTGGCCTGTTCTCTTCCCTCGAGGCTGCCCTGGGGCAGAAGTGACCCTGTGCATTCTGGGATCCCCCAGCACCTTTCTGTCTGTGCTGCTGGAGGGTGGGGTCCAGAGTCCCGGTGAGTGTGCACCCCACCCCCTCCTACAGAAAGGGCAGCCCTGCCCTGGCCCAGCCACATCCCAAAATACCCGCCAACCCTGGCAGCTGCCACCATTCCGGGGTGCCAGCTGCCATGCTCAGAGCGGGGGTGGGTTCTGGGAGCAGCTGCCCCCACTGCCCAGGGCCCGGGCTGGAGGAGGAGGGCATGGGACAGGAAGCCTTCCCTGGCCAGCCACTCTCCCCCGTCTGCCCACAGGAAACATGCTGCTTTGCCTGTCCCCTGCGTGGCTGACAAAGGTGCCGGCACCAGGGCGGCCAGGAGAGGCGGCCCTGCTGGTTTCCAAGGCAGTGAGCTTCCACCCGGGGGGCCTGACCTTCCTGGATGACTTTGTCCCCCAGCGCCAAGCCACCTACTTCCTGGTGGGCCTGGGACCGGGTCCTGGCCAGGGGAGGGAAGCGGCTGAGCTCGCTCGCGATCTCACCTGCCCCACCGGAGCCTCGGCAGAGCTGGGCCCGGCTGCTGGAGGACCGGCTGCTGACCAGGCACTTGCTGGCCCCAACGAGGCGGCGTGCTGTGCCAAGCTACCCTGGCTTTCACCTACAAGCCACCACGCTGCTTCGGGGAGGGGATGGCAGCCCGGGACTCCGGCTGGTGGAGCTGAGTGGCAAAGAGGGCCAGGAGACACTGGTCAAGGAGGAAGTAGGGGCCTTTCTGCACTCGGAGGCCCTGGGTGATGCCCTGCAGGTAACAGGCTCCTGCCCTCGAGGTCTGTGTAGATGCCACAGGATGGGACCCATGGATGGTCACCAAGTCCTGCTGGGAAGTTACCCCCACCTTTGTGTCCTGTTGCCACCCCATCTCTGCGGCCACCCCCTGCCCTCTCATCCTACGTTGTGACACCTCATCCCACAGGCACAGGGGTGGGGAGCAAGCCCCTTCCCCTTGCTGTGGTTGCAGGTGGCCATCAAGCTCAGCAGCTGGCGCTGGCGGGGGCGGCAGGCACTCCGTCTGCACCCACGAGCAGAGGTGGGCACAGTGGCGGACACGGTGGTGGCATTGCTGGAGAAACTGGAGGAGGAGGAGAGTGTCCTGGTGGAGGCTGTGTGCCCACCTGCCCGGCTGCCCTCCCCAGGTGAGAGCCACCTGAGCCGGCCAGGGGTGGGAGCTCGGCTCGGTCTCCTGGCTGCTGTGCTGGGCTCAGGCCTCACCGTCTCCCCCCAGGAAATCCCCCGCCAGGTCCGGAGCTGGCTTTGCGGATCTGTGCTGTGGTGTGTCGGACACAGGGTGACAGGCCCCTGTTGAGCAAGGTGAGGGCGGCCCAGGTTTAGGTCCTGACCCTGCTGCCACACCCCAGTCCAGCCCCACTGAGCTGATGAGGGCCCCTGGGCAGAGAGGACAAAATCTTTTTAAAAAAATATTTTTTATATATGTTTATTTTTTATAACACTTTAATGTTTTTATTGATATTAGAGAGAGAGGAAGGAAGAGAGAAACATCCATATGAGAGAGAGAGGAAACATCAATCAGTTGCCTCCTGTGAGCACCCCAACTGGGGAATCAAATCCACCACCTGGATATGTGCCCTGACGGGGAATTAAGCCCACCTTTTGGTGTTTGGGACAACGCTACAACCAACTGAGCCACACCGGCTAGGGCAAGAGGACAACATCATTGAGGGGGATCTTGGTTGCCTCTGGGAGGACTCCTGGGTCTGGCCCTTTTTCATGCTCCTCCAACCCTCCCTGCGCCCCTCCCACATCAGGAGCCTTGACTGATCCCCATGCTGCCGCCCAGGGCTTGGGGCTGAGTCCTCTTCCCAAGGAGCTCTTGCCCACAGAAGAGGCCGACCCCGGTCCCTGACAAACCTCCAGGGCCTGGAGCCCTTAGGTGGGGCCTCCAAGCTGGGAGCTCAGGAAGGCTTGGGGACCCTCCTGGGTGTACAGCTCTGGGCCAAGCAGAGAGGGAGAGGCTCAGTCCTGTCCTCAAGGAGCTGCTGGGCTGGGGCACACCAGGGTGGCACAGGTGCCCGGGGCTGCAGGAGCTAGGAGCCAGCATGCTTGGAGGCCTCAGGGAGCAGAGACCCCAGCTGGGATGGAACCTGGGTGGAGTGCCCCAGGGGTCTAGGGACCAGATGGGCAGTGGCTGTGGAGGTGGTTTGTGCAACGTAAGTCACTTCGGAGAACTGGGCTTCTGGATGTCCCCAGGGGTCTGGCCTGGATCTTGGCACAGGGGGCAGCATGCACGGGGTGGTGGTGGTGGGGGGTGTCCTGGGAGGACTCCTCCTGGGCCAGTCCCCTGAGCCACGGCCTGCCCAGGTGGTGTGCGCGGTGGGCCGGGGGAACCGGCCTCTACGGCACCAGAACTCTTTGCCACGTCCGCTGGAGGTGGCGCTGGCCCAGTGCGGCCTGGGTGCGGCGGCTCAGGTGGCGGGCGTGCGGCGGAGCGTCAAGACGGCCGCCGAGGCTGCGCTGG